AGCTATATTATGCTTATTATCAAATGATAAAATCCAATGCTAGCAAACAGAAATTTTTGAGTTCTTATTATTCGAACTTCGATTTTTCGAGGTTCTTATTTTTCGAAAATCGAATCTTCGAAGTTCTTATTTTTAAAAAAATTCGTTGTGAATTATTATTTTTCGAGTAATTTGTAATTTTAGTGAACATGTCTACTAGTTTTTATGATTAAGATAATCACTGTGATGAAATTGCATTCCTTAAATGTTTATGCTTTAAAAAACACCTAGTTTAAAAAAATAAAAAGTAACAGACTTTATTATTTTGAAATTTTAAAAAAATACCGCGCGAAAATTTTGAATTTTTTTTGTTTGTAACGGACTCTGTTCTCTTTGCTAACATTGGGATAAAATAATATTTTTATCAAAAATTCATGAAAAAATTGCTTAATTTAAGTTTTTATTTTTTCCTAATTTTCGAAAATTTGGAACTGCAGGGTATGAAACTTCGAATTTTGCATCGCAGACAGACAAATAAGACATTTTTGCAAGTGTTCTTGGAAACTGTAACGGTCGAATTTCTTGAATTGTTCGTATCAGGTTATGAAAAGTAAAAAAGGACAAATTCTGCAATTTTGTATGTAATTCCATATACTTCACAAGCACCAGCAGAAATCAGTTTGGTGTATTACATTTTTTTTCCTTAGTTATGTCGGTTTCAAGTCGACTAAAGTGAACATGAAAAAATCAACTCGGTTAAAAGTCGACTAAAGTGAACACGAAAAAATCAAGTCGGTTTCAAGTCTACTAAAGTGAACACAAAAATATCAACTCGAGCTGACTTGAAACCGATTGAAATTTTAGTGAAGTGAAGTGAGTTTGCTTCATCGACTTCGACCTCTGCATTTCGGGCTATATCTCCAGCACTGTTGCACTTTGGGCCAAAATGAGAATAGATTCTGATTTCTTGGATAAAAACCTTTCAAATAAGCCAATAAAATAATTTTTGGAATAAAATTTCGATTTTATCCCATAATGATGTGTGCACATATTTGATGTATGAAACATTATTTTGTGTCACATATGAAAATGTGTGATGTGTGACACATATTTATGTGTGTAGATATCATGTGTGAACATGCAAAATCTGCACATATTTATTAATTTGCGGGACTAAAGTAATATTTTTTTGTAAAATTTATTTAAAACTAGTGTATCGGGTAGAAACCCAATGCTGCCATATTCACACCGTACCATCAAAAGTCTTATGGACAGAGCAAGATTAGCTCAGCATAAGTTTGAAGGTATAAAGCTAGCTGAGCTTTGCTGAGCATATGTTTGAAGGTTTAAAGCTTAACGAACATACTTTGAAAGATTTTTAAAAAAAAAATTTCATCTAAAGTTTAATTATATAAAAATCACAGTAAACTTTTGTTTCGAAAAGTTCGTAAGAAAGGAAAGTTTTTTGCTTTTTTTGAAGCAACGGCTGTTCCTACCTTGCCCAAAAACAATACAGCTCTTCTATAGAGCATCACGGATTAAATGTAAAAAACTAGAAGTCTCTACGATGTCTCGTTATTGAGATTTCTTGCTGATTAACTTACTTGTTTGCTTGCTTACAGAAAGCGTATTTTGCGATTTTCTCAGCAATGCCGTAACCAATTTGAAATATGTTTTTTGCAAATGATGTAAAATTTCAATTTTGCTTCGTTTTCTCACAAAATGCGAAAAACTGATTTTTAAATCAGTCAAATCAATCAAAAATCAGTTTTTCGCATTTTGTGAGAAAACGAAGCAAAATTGGTTATAAAATGTCCTTGAAGAAAAGTTTGTGTCTGAAATTTTACATCATTTGCAAAAAACAGTTTTCAAATTGGTTTCGGCATTGCTGAGAAAATCGCAAAATACGCTTTCTGTAAGCAAGCAAACAAGTAAGTTAATCAGCAAGAAATCTCAATAACGAGACATCGTAGAGACTTCTAGTTTTTTATATTTAATCCGTGATGCTCTATAGAAGAGCTGTATGGTTTTTGGGCAAGGTAGGAACAGCCGTTGCTTCAAAAAAAGCAAAAAACTTTCCTTTCTTACGAATTTTTCGAAACAAAAGTTTACTGTGATTTTTATATAATTAAACTTTAGATGAAATTTTTTTTTAAAAATCTTTCAAAGTATGTTCGTTAAGCTTTAAACCTTCAAACATATGCTCAGCAAAGCTCAGCTAGCTTTATACCTTCAAACTTATGCTGAGCTAATCTTGCTCTGTCCATAAGACTTTTGATGGTACGGTGTGAATATGGCCGCATTGGGTTTCTACCCGATACACTAGTTTTAAATAAATTTTACAAAAAAATATTACTTTAGTCCCGCAAATTAATAAATATGTGCAGATTTTGCATGTTCACACATGATATCTACACACATAAATATGTGTCACACATCACACATTTTCATATGTGACACAAAATAATGTGTCATACATCAAATATGTGCACACATCATTATGGGATAAAATCGAAATTTTATTCCAAAAATTATTTTATTGGCTTATTTGAAAGGTATTTATCCAAAAAATCACTTTTTTTTTGCTTAACAGAAAAAAATAATTTGAATTTTTCACTAACACTATCATACAAAATATGAAAACTTAAATTCTCAAAATTCTTAATTATTTAAGGGCAATTCTACGAAAAGGTTACATGAAAATAATCCGTGTCAATTGCATGAAATTTTTTAATTATTTTATTTTCACTTGTGCATAGTTTTTCAAAAATCTAATTCTCATTTCCTTTTCTATTGGTTAAACTGCGAATTATGATTACATCTGCACTCAAATTACTTAGCTATGGCTTGAGAAATTCATGGTTTTAATTTTAATGTTTGGTAGTTTTTTTTGGAATTGTCTCCAAATTACTCTGTTTCACTTATGAAATTTTTCGTAGAATCCAAATTGCAGCTTAATTAAGGCTTCCACAAATATGATTTTGACATCGTTTTGAAGCTTTTACTTTAAGCTATAACTTTGTATACTTAGTATTACTGGAAATTTCACCACCTTAAAGATATCAATTAAAACATTTTGGAAATTTGGGCAAAAAAATTCATGTGAAACAGAGTAATTTTTCGTAGAATGTAAATAATTCTTTAATTAACCATTTTTAATATGTTTGGGTGAGAACAATATATAGATCTCGGTAAAATCTACTATTAAATACATGAAACACGGGGAGTAATGCAACTGATAAAGAGAAATATAGATTTGGAGACAAATTTGTAGAAAAAACCATTCGTAGAATCGCCCTTAACCATTAATCTCAAATATTATGATTTGAATACGAAAAGTAGGAATATATTTTCGTGACTTTTCAAATTTCATTTTCGATTTTGTTTGTAAACAAACAAATTGTAACCGAAAAAATTCAAAAAATTTAAAACCGTTAAAAAAATTTTAACTGAATTTTGTCCGTTTATTATGTTAATGCAGCAATTTTAAAATTTTTATAACCTCAAAAAGAACAGAATTGAATTTCGGACCTAAAAAATAACATTTGGAGATATATCAATAAACAATAATGAAGATATAGCAAAATTCCCAAAAATTGTACATGAGTGACGCTCAGTTAAAGTGATTTTTTCGAGTAACTGTAAACTTTCATGAATTGAATTGTTCAACAATAGCTTCATGTTATGTGTATTTAAAGTCATTTACATCTCATTGAAAATGGAAAATAATGACATTTCAAATAAAAATGGTCCAAGTCCATGCCAAAAACTCAAATTGATTTTAAAATATCAAAAACACTATTTTCGAACATTTCTGAAAGATTTATCAAGTTTGGACATGATTTTGATGAAAAAAGTTGAAAAAGATTTTTGAGGTGCATGTAGATGACATGTTTCAAATGGTTCAAAGTTGAAAATTTGGTGCAACTTTTTCCAGGTTTTCACAGTTTTAGTAAGATACAAGTGAGGGCTATATAAAACAGTTAAAACTTGTCTCTCCACTTACTTGGAATATGCAGTTATAGTCAATTGAAGTCAAAACATAATTAAAAACCGTATCTTTTTTGAAAAAATCTCAATTTTTTAATGCATAAATATAATTTTAAACCTTGAAAGAGATATTTTTTTTGTAGATCTAGTAAAGAAATACAATTTAATGAAAAAGGAAAAACATTTAAATGCATCAGAAATCCACATACTCAAAAAAAGTGTGCCGCATTACTAACATTTAAAGTTTTGTCAATTTTTAAGCACTTTCCATGAAGTAAAACTTATGTGACTGAAATTTATATTAAAGTTTCGGCTCATATCTGTCATTTAAAAAAAATTTCAAGAAAATTGGTTGAGACAAGAAAAAGTTCTGATAAATTGAAAATATTAACTATCGAAGGTCACCAAAATACATTTCGGGCTATATCTCCAGCACTGCTGCACTTTGGGCTAAAAATTAAAATAGATTCTGATTCCTTGGATAAAGACCTTTCAAATAAGCCAATAAATAATTTTTGGAAAAAAAATTCGATTTTATCCCATAGTGCACATCCCACATAAAATATTTGCACATATGTAATTCTGTAAAATTCTGTTAAATAGAATATGCTTTAACAACCCTGGTTTTATTTAATCATTTTGCATGCAGCATGTCCAAACGTGGAGATATAATTCGAATTTCCAATGTTGGAAAAATCTCATCTTGGGGAAAATTGATTTTTCTTCGAAGTTTGAAAAATCAATTTTTCGAGTAAGTGAATTGACAAAATTTCTTAAAAAAGGAGAAAATTTTTGAAAATCATTATAAGTTAATCCTTTAAATGCATTTGATATGTAGATTCACAAGTGCGATAATATGAAATCACATAAAGTCATGCTTTCAATAGTGAAACTCAATTAATATAAGAGAAAAATGAATTAGTGTTTAATTGTGATATTGTGTCTAGTCGTTGAAAGTGATTTTGAAAGTATTCCATAAAATTAAGAGTTTCAAGATATTTCATAGTCAAAGAGATTAATTATTAGAGAATATGCAGACATTAAGGAAGAAAACTTCGCCCCTTAAATGTGAGTATGAAAAAAAAAATGAAAAATTATGTGGGTGCTAAAAATGGGAAATGTCTGAACGGAAAATCAATTTCGGCATTTGAGGTTTTTCGAGTTCCAATGAAATTTATTTATAATAAAAATATTTGTTTGTCCGTGATCTTTAATATTATTTTATATGACAACTAAGGCAATACCATAACTACACATAGTATCTGAATTTCGAAACTTTTTAAACAATCGTTAATATCGAAAAGCGCTCTCTAGATGAGATAAAGTCTAAGCAGTTCTTTTATGCAAAAATTCAGTATTTCTTAAAATCTCATCCGAAAAACATTATTATGAATTTCCCTCGTAAATTAATAAATTAAAATAAAGTATAAAAAAATGAAATTAATAGTTTTAGCGCCTATGTATCTGAAATATTTTTAATATAAATAAAGTTTTTAAATAGCTTATTGAATTTTTAAAATTATTTGAAAAAGAAAAAAAAAATTGCAAGGATAAAAAAAATTATCTACCTGAAAAATAAATAAAAAAAAATGAGACCAAGTGAAGATAATAAATGTATGCTGTAAATCATTTGAATTATATAAGATGTCGTCACAAGATAGCACTCTCTTAATATAATATAATTAAATTTAATTGTATAGATCGTAATGAGCCTGCCAGATTTTTCGGTGATGGAGTCGTTTTTAAGGCAAAATTGATTGGAATTTTAGAAGTTGGTGAGGCGCGAGGTGATCGAATGTGTCAAGAGGCCTTACAAGATTTAAAAATTGCAATTAGAGCTGCTGGAGAGCATAAGCAACGCATCACTATTCATGTAACAATTGAAGGATTGAGACTAAGAGATGAGAAGACGGGCGTAAGTCAAGAACGATGCAAATATTTCATTATAAAATCAGAAAAAATTGAAGGAGTTTTTAAATTAATTTAAATTGATCTTTTGTAGGAATCACTTTATCATCATCCTGTTCATAAAATTTCATTTATTGCACAAGATATGACGGACTCGAGAGCCTTTGGGTATATCTTTGGATCACCCGATTGTGGTCATCGATTCTTTGGCATTAAAACCGATAAAGCTGCTAGTCAAGTTGTTTTGGCCATGAGGGATCTTTTTCAGTGTGTGTTTGAGTTAAAGAAGAAAGAAATCGAATTGGCGAAACAACACATTCAAAATCGTATTACGGCTCATGAGCATCAACAAATAAAAAATTCAATTTTAGAGCATAAGAAAACTACTTCAAGCTTGTTGAGTGAAGCGAGGTCAACACCAAAGCCAGAGAAATCGCCAGAAACTACTGCTAATTTAGTTGATCTCGAACAAGAATTAAGTTCCATACAAAGAGGCATAACACAGATGGAACGAATAACGCCAAATGACGATGCACCGACTAAAAATGTTTTAGATGATGATCCATTTGGCGATAGTTTTAGCACTAGTTTCTCATCTACTCCCTTTAATATTTTACCGCCTCCTTCCACGGCCAAATCTAGAAGTCAGCAACAAAAACAAAGCGAAGATGATCCGATGAGTGACTTGATTATCGGAAAAACTTCTTCGAACTCACCACTTCCACAACAAAATCCACAATCTTCAATTGACTCATGGCTTCAAACAACACAAACAACATCGTCGTCTATTTTTAAGGACAACAGTGATACAACAAAGATTGATGATGGGTTGTCTAAAATCACCAAAACATTTGACGATAGTAACAATACAAATTTAACTTCTACTAAATCAGAATTAATTGGTGCATTTACAGATCTAGATCCACTTGGTACGGGAAAATCCAAACCTTATGTTGATAAGAAATACTTTTTCCAGGATTTAAAAAATCCTCCAAAGAAGGTCCTCAAAGATTTATCAGAACACGATAGCATTTTCGATGCACACTTCTCGCCATTAAAGCGACCGATTGGAATTCAAGGTTTCAGCCTAGACTCGAGCTTAACAACAGGAAATACGTCACTGGTTGAAAACTCAAAGATTATTGATCAATTTGATGATGAAGACTTTTCAAAAATTAATATCGATCAGTTAGAATCATCATCTACAACAACTACCAAATCAATATCTCCAAATCAGAAATCTATCATACTCCCAGACACGAAAATTTCCTCCATCAGTGAAGATAAACCAAAGATTGAAGATAAGTTAAATGACTTTAAAAGTTTTAGTACAGAAGCGCCTACTGAATCGTGGGCATCTCCAAATTATTCTGATTTGAGAAGACAAGGCTCCGATGGATCAGTTAAAAATGTCTTTTCAGTTGATTCTTTCTCGAAGAAGCTCCCAAAACCAAATATATTCGGACAAAGAAATGTGAAGAGAGATTCCAACGGAATCAATATGAGACGATTACAGGAAAGTGATTCGTTAAGTGAAAACGAACCAGAGTTACCTCCTCGATTGCCTGATTCAAGTACACATGAGCCTCCTCCTTTGCCTCCAAAGAATCAAAAAGACTCGTCTTCTAATGAACAAATTGACAGACATCGCTTTAATCGTGTACCTGTCAAACAACGTGAATCTCGATATGATTATGCGAATAAGTTTAACTCAAACTCATCTGATTCACCTCCTATTCCATTACCAAGTCGAAAAATAAATCGCACAGAAATAAGCATTTCTTCAAAGTCATCTAAAAAGTCAAATAATAATGATGATGATGACTATTTAACGCCTAATCCATCTCATGATTCATTCCCAACATTACCGCCTCCTCCACCATCCAAATTTCGAGGACCAAAAAAATCTGATACCGATCCTAAAAATCTTGATGCCCCAACTCCTCCCATATCTGCTAGATCAGATTACACATCAAACCCATCATCAATCATACCGGATATTACATTGAGTCAATTACTAACTTTAGGAATAGATGATTTAGCACACAAATTAAATGTCCCACCATCAAAATTAAATACAATGACATTAGTGGAACTTACCACATATTTGGCTGAATTCATTGAAAAGTCTAAACAAACAAAAGCTGTCAATGAAACACCGCTCGAGTCACCAGTATTTAAAGTGAATTTCGATGATGCTGTTTTTGAAGCGAAATTCGATGATAATTTTGGCGAAATACAATCTCAGACAACAACACAAAGCAGCTCATTTGTTGCAAACTTTGATCATTTTAATCAGCCCCCGATCTCAGTAATTCCTACAGCCGATCGATATGCTGTTTTTAGAGAAATTATCGATCAGGATATTCAACAATCTTTTGATGGTCATCATCAAGAATCAATTGAATCCAATAATTCAAATTCTATGGATGAAGGGCAAGACAGTCCATTTGATTTTGCCCGTGGTGGTTTTAACAATCAATTTGAATCACCACTTGATAATCAATTTAAACAAAGTCCTATAACGACGCAGTCATCGAAAATTGATAATAAAATAACTGAAGCATTATCAGGCGTTAAAGATCGTTATGCTGCATTACGAGAACTAAGAAATATCGTTTTAGTTGAGGATCTTTTTGATAAATCTCCAAAACCACCACTTGCTTCTATATCAGATTCAAACTTGAGTGATGATATTGCCGATGATAATTCAAGCTTTAATCAGCAAGTTTTCGAGACAGCTGAAGTTGCTGATAATAATTCACTCGAAAATGTCCCAACATATAGTATATCGTGGGCTGATGCTGAAGATAATGAAGGAATTAATTCCGAGAATACCGTTGAGAATCAAATTCAGCTTGATGATCAACCACAAAAGTCTAATTTATTTTCTACAAGCAATAAAGACGATTTGGAAATTGACGAATATATGAATAAAGCGATATCTGAATTGTCGCTTGATCAACGACTTTCTCCAAACATACAAAGCAAATCATCACCTCATAAAGTAGATGAGGAAAGCAATTTCTCCAAACAATCATCACCGCTACCTGTTGAGCAAAGAAAATTGTCGCCTAGCTTGAATGATATGATGGCATCTCCTAATAATGTAATTCAAGTCCACGAGTCGAAATTAGACGAGACATTGAAGGCAGATTTCGAGTCAACGAATAAAAATACTTCAAAAGAAAACATAATTGAAGATGCAATAGAAAACAATGATAATAATAACAATATTGATGATAGTCGAGGTAAATATCTCAATTACATAAACTATATAATAGATCTCGATTTTTAAGGATTTTTGCTTAACGGAAAAAAATTATTTGAATTTTTCACTAACACTATCATACAGATAATCAAAAATTAAATTCTCAAAATTCTTAATAATTTAAAAACGAAAAGTAGATGAAACATTGGCTGTTCTGACTATTTTATGAGCTTTTACATAAATGAGGTTGGTCCGAGTGCCTATTAAAATAACGAATTTTAAAATTTCGAAACTTCATTTTTACGATTTTTTTTTCTTGGTATATTTTTCAAATTTTAAAAAACAGTAAACCTCCCAATTCTTAAAAATGAGTTTAAGTATGTTAACGCAACAATTCTTAATTGAATTGATAAACTCAAACAGAACAGAAATAAATTTCTGACCACTAGATGGGGATTTTTAATTCACTTTTTAAAAAAGTAATTCATAAATTTGTCACTTTTAAGGATAAGGAGATAAGCAAGAAAAAACAGCGTCACTCACGTACAATTTGTTTGTGACGAGGCCCTAATATTATTTACACACTTACTGTTTCTATTTTTAGAGAAAACTATAACACCAAATGATGTGAAACCGGTTGATGCATCAGAATCATGGGCCGTTTTTGAACAAGATGATACGAAGGTTATTCAAACAGATACAATGCAAGGTCGTTCGAAACAAGAACAAGAATCTAATTCATCAGATGGCAAGCCAGAATGGAAAATTAGAGAAAAGGAATATCATAAAAGATGGCCTAAACCACCACACACATCCTCATCATCGAGAGAAGCTAGCCCTTGGGATGATGATCCTTCAGATCAAAGAAAACGTTCACATAATGTACATCCTCCACCGCCTCATTATCATTCGACAGATCGATATGCTCGACCACCAGCTCCACGTCGTCGCATGAATTCGCACGAAGAAGAGTATGATGACGATTATGAGAGAAGGAGAGTTAGAGTAGCTGCAAAACCACCAATTCATCGTAGTAAAGAAATGTTAGAAAATGAAAATTGGTATCATAATGATCAGCATTGGTATCCAGATGAGGAAGATGATGAACAAGAAAGAATGGAGAGAACTCCACGTCCATTCGATAGAAATGCTTATGAAAGAAGCACTTACGGACCACCTTATGATAAACGAGATTCCAGAAATTATCAGGGATATGATAGGAGAGCGTATGATAAACGTTCAAAATATTATCGTTCCTATAACCGTCCAGAGTACGATTATGAACATCCTTATGATATGCCACCACCTCCACCTCCAACAAGTAGAGGAAAACCAAGAAAAGAATATGATGAATATGAAGGTAATTTCGAAAGGGGTGCAAGGGAAACTAGAAGTGCTAGAGAATATTTCTATGATAGAGATAGACGTAGTTTTGATAGTAATGAATCATATGATAGTGGTAGAATGAACCGTATGAATAGTGGAGAATTACATGGAAGTTATGAAAGTGGAAGAGGTGATTATCGTGAACGATATGCATCTCAAGGACGAATGTCGAGAAGAAATCAACGATCTAGAGGTACAATAGAAGATGATTCCGATGAAGTTCCTCCAAGACGACCATCAGGCGACACAGGAAGTTTGCAGAGACCTCAAGGTGTTAGAACAAAGCATTCAAATATTAAATTAGATGATGAAGTATGGGGAAATGCTGCAAAATATTGGAAACGACCTGCAAGTGCTACGGCGGGTGATCGAATGTCTGGCTCGGGTGGATTATCAGGATCAGATGGTGAACGAGATAAAAGACATCGTAGAAAAACGAGACAAAGAAGTAAGGAAGTTGAATTAAGGTCAAATTATGCGACTATAAGATATCCTGGTCAGGAACAACGAAGAAAAGAATATTATGATTTTGAAGACGATCCTAATGATGAACCAGTTCCAAGCAATGCATCACCTCGATTCCAAGCAATGGATAGCAGAGATTATTATGCAAAGAAGAAACAACAACATGCTACTGCAAATGTACGAACTAGTACAACCCCAAGAAGTGAAAATAAGAGCTTTAGTGAATATGTAAAACCAAGATATGCTTCACCATATGAAGATTCAATAGGAGATGAAAATTTTGACGAAGAACATCGAGGACAAGGAAAAAATCAAAACTTTAAGAAAAGTACTAGTAAAGACATTTTCATAGACGAATCAAAAGAACATTTTACTGGAAACAATGATGTACATCAAAAAAGACAAACAATTGTAAAACGAACTGAATTTAGCTCGGAGGAGCAATCTACTCAACCACCAGTACCACAACCTAGTAACAAGTTTGCATTTGACGGATTCGAAAGCGATTTCACAACTTCACCGAAACAACAAAATGATCAAAAGAGCGAACCACCCAAGTTTACTTTTGAGGAAAGAGAATTTTCATCTGTATCGCCTAATACTGCAAAAAATGGAAATAGTCAACAAAAGCTAAGATTTAACGAGAATGTTTCAGTCTCAAAGTTTGATAAGAATGCTTCTTCTCAACAAATGTTTGAGGATGATTTCCTTCAATCATGGACTCCATCTGAAGCACCACCCACTGTAGGAGGGACACAGATGCAATCGAGTTTGAAGAAGACTGCCGTAAAAGGAAATGTTGTTTTTACAAGACAAGAGAATATTAAAAAATCTGATTCAGTTAATATTTTTGCACGAAAATCTGATGAAGATCCGTTTGAAAATGACGATTTTTTTAGCGGTGGAGATGGTGGAAATGAAAAGCCTGAAGAAGATCCATTTCATTGGGACAGTAAAAATAATTTTGCAAATTTTGATGATAATAAAAATATCTGATCATTAACAAAATCATCATTATCATCATCGTCTGGTAAGAATAGCGGCAGCAAAAAGCATACGCACTATTATAAGCGAGCATCTAAGTTATATGATGATACATCATACAATATTAATAATAAAAATAATAATAATTTCACAAAGTATCATCAGTTTAATGAGAACGAAAGATTAACAATTTTAAGCAAGAGGAGTGTGTCAAAACGTAATAATTATCATGTAAAATCATCAAGTAATACAACCTCATATTATTATTACAATAATAACAATAATAGCAACAAAAATTATTTAATGCGACTCTTAATGAAATTGGTTTATCTATAAATCACACAAAATACCTTATAATTTATAATTTTCAATAAGGAATAATAATAATAATGATAATGATAGTAATAATACTCATGATGTATAAAAGAAGAAGTGCATGCAATTTTTAGAGGGAATATAAACCAAATGAGAACAAAAAGAGGAAGAAGAAAAAATAATAAGTTAATAATTTCCATTTCATTCGAAAACCAATTGAATGATCAATTAATCAATCATATTTAGATAATTTAAATGAATATCATAATTTATGAACAAAAAAAAAAGAAAAAGACGAACGATGAAAAGCTTTTACTTAGATGTTGAAAATTGAATGAGACGAGAATGGAAAAGCATTTTGAAGAAAATTTTCTATCATAAAAAATTTAAAAAATTTCACTAAATGTTTATAATATTTTTGTTATTATGATGCAGCTTATACAAGGCATTATTAATAATGTTGACTAACAACTTATTCTAACATTTCCGTTAATCATGCAAATGCATACAAAGAATGTAGCTATTTATGCGAATTCAATGATCAAAAAAGTCATGTGTACTCGAAAACAAGTCAAATTTTAATTGTGAATATAATGTTGCCATTTTAGATGATAATTATAGTTTTCATGCAACTTTTTGAAACAAAAGATACGAGTCTGATATTTTATAGCAATCTTCTGCTACGTTTACCCTTTATTTCTGTCTTAATTTATTGTTTTTAGTTTTATTTTAGACCTCATAATAATCCTCCCCACAACTTATCTCTTTTTTTCAATTCAGAGCTTGAAAGTATTAAACAAATGAATCATTTTATGCGATCTGAGATTACTTATGATTTTTACAAGAATTAATTAATTCAATATGATTTTAGTAAATAATCCCAGCAGATTTAATCTGAATGGATCATGCAATGTGTAATTTAAAAATTTAAAGAAATCTTTCTTGATAAATAAAAAAGAGAAAAAAAGATTACAATAATGTTGTTGCATTTATTGCTTATCTTTAGGGGATATTTGACAAAAATGATATTTGGCAAACGTTTGTGCTATAAGAAGTGGAAGAATTATGGAAGCCTCACCATAAATTTTTACTGGAGTTGCTGTTTGTTTGATTTTTCCCCAGCTTACAGCCTCATCACATCTAGCGCCGCTATCTGATCCATCATACTCTGATGCTGTATTTAAATAAACTGCATAATCTGCGCCGTTTCTCATTAAATTTGCATTACATATATGATGCTTTATGAGTCCACCACCGCAAATTATTATACCACTATTTAATGACTTTACAGCTATTGTATTTAATCTCCGAAGATCAGAGATGATGTCAAGGATTAATCCTGGATTTCTAAATGAATGAAAGTACATCATATCACCTAAAGAACCATCAGTAAGTGCTGGACAAAATACTGGAATCTTATTTTTTGCTGCCCAGTAATAAATTGATTCTTCATGATTTATTCTTTCTCCTAGTCTTTGTATAACTTTTGATGGTGTCCAAATAATGTCGTTTTCCTTTTGTTCCTTCAACATCTCATCCAAAAGTGGAATGATCCAGTTTTCAAATAAACAATAATTATCATTAGGGACAAGCAAGTTTCCTATTCTGTTGATTCCTTTTTCGCGCAGCTCCTTTCCTTGGAGTTCGAAAGATCCCAAAAATGTTGGAGCCAGGCATTTAATAAAATCTTCTTCTATTCCACCTACAAAACATTTTAAATTAATAATTTTGAATACAATTAATGTTTTAAGAACATACCAGCTGTTGTCACAATGCAGTCTACAAGCTTATGCTGTACAAGGAATCGAATATTTTCTCTTAAGCCGCTACTGACCATATTTGATGTATATCCAAGAAAAACAGTACATTTATGTTTTCTTTTAATAAACTCATCCTCTTCATAGCTGTCGACATCTTCGCCTGTCAATTCTTCATGTCTATCCTTAAGCATCTTATTGATTTCTTCAGTCGCTTTGCCGAAATTCGTTGCTTGAAATCCACACTTTCCAAAACTTTGCAATAGCTCGTCATAATTGATTCCTTTATTAAAATCATATCCTTGGACGATTGGAGTGTCTTTCGACATTTGAATGCTCTCCTTGAGCACTGATTCCTTTGCTATATCTGGTTCCATTTTAATTTAATTTAAAGAATTAAAAATTAAATGTGATTTTTGTAAACACATTGCAAAGACTAATTTTTGAAATTCAAAAATCCGTTTGATAAAATTAAAAAACCTTTAATTATTCATTTTTTAATAACATGAATTAGAAATTAACAAACTTAATTCAATACTAATCGTAAATATAATTAAATGCACAGCTGTCAATTCAATTTAATAGATATTTATATTCACACCGTGTTCACGTGTTTATATTCACACCGTAACTTTCGTGTATTAAAAACTATGTGCCTTAAATTTCACATCTTCTGCAATAAAACAGATTTCAAATTGGTTAAGGCACTGCTGAGAAATACGCTTTCTAAAGCAACTAGCAAGCAAGTTAATCAGCAATAAATCTCAATAACGTGATATCGTAGCGACTTCTAGATTTTTAAAATTCAAACTGTGCAGCCCTATAGATAAGCTTAAAAGTTTTTCAGCAAGGTAGGAACAGCAGTTGATACAGAAAAGGCAAAAAACTTTTCTTTTTTTACAATTTTTATAAACCAAAAGTTATTTTGAGTTTTATAAAGTTCAACTGAATTTAAGGATGTTTGGCACATCCATTTAGCTTTAAATCTTCAACTAGTAGACTTTCGATGGTACGGTGTGAATATATCCGAATTGGGTTTCTACCCGATACACTAGTTGAATAAAAATAAAGTGAAATATTTAACGAACAAAAGTAAAAATTTGAAAATAAGTCTCCAGAAAGTAGAGTAAACTGCGAAAAATTCAAGTACAAAAAGGTATTTTCACTCAGTCGTATTTTAAACGTCAAAGGAGACGTATTGTTTGAAAATTTGTGAAGAAAAATATGAATTTTAGCTAGAAAATTGATTAAAATCATTTGATAAGCTGAATAAAGTGCATAAAAAGGATTAATTGAACAAATACATTCCAAATGTGCATAAAATAAAAGTGTTTAAGTTTTTTAAATTAAAGTAAAATTGAAAAGAAAAAAAGAATTGCAAAATGTTTCAAAATGTCTAAAAGAAAATTTTTCGCAAAATAGCACAAAAAGATAAAAATTTTCATAAAGGTGGAATAAGATGAAAATTGCTATGATTTAGAATTAAAATGAAATTAAAGTTCAAAGTATATGACATTTTAATGAGTGGATATAGTGTTTTTAAATGGATTATATCGAAAAATTAATTTTAATTGAAATGTAAGTGTTTCATAAATTGTAAAAAAAATGTTTATTCAATCAATAAATTGTGAGAATTGCTTAGAGTCAAATATCAACATTTACTCGTCGTATACCTGCAATTATTGATAAATTTGAAGAGCAAACTTATAAATCTACATAGTAATTTTAATAATAACAAGATATGAACCATCTAAGATGATTTTTGGCATTTAATACCTATAGCTATACATACTTATATGATTTTTCATCTCACACACAAAAAAAAAGAAAGAAATTTATATCCTTCGAGACGAAAAGGAGAACCGAAAAAACCTACGAAAAATGTTTTTATTAATTTCAAAAGACGGATTCCTATAGAACCTGATGATTACACTTTAATTAATGCTTTGTTACAAATTTTTTATGACCTTTTTAGTTTATGAGATTTTTTTTTCTTATTCCTTTTACATTTTGCCATCTATTCAGTTTCGTCAAAATTCTTCTTTTTATGCTCTTCTCATATATATAATTATTAGGTATACATATCTTAAGAATTCTTTTCCGTCTCTTTGATTTTAGGTAAAAAATTAATTTCAAACTCACATTTATAAACTGAAAACCGCTCAATGTGAATAAGCTAGCAGCACAACAAGAAAAGAGAGATAAAAAAATATGAAATAAAAAAAATAATACTAAGAAGAAGAATAAGATATCTTGATTTCAAATGATTTAAAGCAGTCTCAAAGGCAGAAAAAAAATATTACTTGATGATATGATTGAAATGATGAGAACACTAGGAATTTTACTCTTGGTCGTCATGCCAACATTGATCAACTCATTGGCAAATTGTCCAAATGGTTGTGAATGTAATGATGATACATTAGTTGTGACATGTAATGAAACCAATTTAGATGTAATGCCGATAGCCCTGAATCCTTCGATAAAGAAATTGATTATGCGTAAAAATAAAATTAAGTCAATTGAGTCATCGATACAATTTTATCCAGATTTAGAATTTTTAGACTTATCAGAGAATCACTTACTAAAACTCTTATCAAAGACATTTCAATATCAGAAAAAATTAATTGAATTGAATTTGGGACAAAACAAAATATCCCACATTGAATCGGATACATTTCAAGGACTAGAAATGCTACAAATATTAAATGTGAGAGGCAATTTGATAGATGAATTGAAAGACTATGCATTCCTCTCATTATCCAATTTAGAGGAATTAAATTTAGGACAAAATCGTATTGCTCAAATCGATCCCGATGCATTTTATCGTTTATATAACTTAAAAATCTTATATCTTGATGATAACTCGCTCACTCATGTTCCTGCATTGTCATTTCCACCGTTAACGAATTTGGCTGAACTATTTATTGGTGTCAATTCATTCACGACTTTGGAAAAGAATGCATTTGAAAAACTAAAAAAGTTAACAACATTAAGCTTAAATGGTGCACAATTGCATAACATTTCATCGGGCGCATATACCGGCTTAGAGAGTTTACGAATTTTAGATCTATCAAGTAATCGTCTAACACGTATACCAACAAAAGAAATGTCGATTCTAAGTCGCCTAGAAGAATTAAAAATTGGAATGAATGACTTTGATATAATATCAGAGAAGGCATTCGATGGACTGTCTAATCTTCATCAACTTGAAATAATTGGAGCCAAAAAGTTGGTTCGTGTTCAAAATAATGCATTTATAGAGAATGGAAATTTAAGAGTGATTCGTCTAACAGATAATGAAGAGTTATCTCAATTTGAGTCTGCTGCATTTCATGGATTGCCGTATTTAAAGGAGTTAATACTTAAAAATAATGCAATAGAATCGATACGAGAAAATCTATACGAATGGGATAATCTTCAAACGCTCGATTTGTCTGATAATCCATTACGATGTGATTGTCATCTACTGTGGTATAAAGCATTTTTAAATGCACGTAATAGTCATGCAAATAATAATAAAGGAAATATCATTGTCAATAATAATAATAATAATAATAGTAAATCTGAAAACAGCAGTATTAGCAATAGTAGCACATCAAGCAGCAGTGTGAATTTACCAAAAGCAAATTCTGATGAAATCAATTTTAATCATCAGCACAACATCGTATGTGCATCGCCGCAATTTGCCAAAGGAAAAGAGCTAGTAAAGCTCTCGGCTGATTTATTTGGATGCACTCCGAATTCGGATCCAAAAACGCAAGCAATCATTTGTGGATTACTTGTAATAACGGCGGCAACAATAACCGCCTTAATTCTCCTTGCATACAAATGTCGTCGAAGAAAGTTCCGCAACGTATTAAAGGAGAGCGGATGGGATATTAGCAGTACAATAGGGCGTAAAGATCGTGATTATCATAAAACATATGCTGCCCCACAATACATCGATACAATGCGAAAACACACAATGAGCGCATCTCCATCACATTGCAGTATCCCTGGTGCCAATAATTACCAGCAATATCCAATGATTCCTATCACTGAACTATAGCATAACGCCCCTCCCTCTACGAGGGAATATTCAAGTGAATATTCTAGTGGGGGAGGAAGCAGTACTGACCGTAGTAAGTATAATGGCTCCAAATCAAGTGGTATGACAATTGCAACCACTGCATTCCTTAAATTGAATCAATCTCATTTCAATCAAGGAGGCGATTACATGCCAGCTCCCTCCCAACCAGTCAGCGAGTCAAATGATTTCTATCAACATCATTTTCCATACCATTTCGTTGCACATCATCAATATTATCCACATCATATGCACTGCACAACGCCTCACAATTGTGATCATCATAATAATTATGGAACTACAAGTAACAGTGGCGGTGGTAAGTCATTTGCACATCACACTTATCAAACAATTGGTCCATCCACAATAAGCTCAACAGTATATCAAGAGCATCACTATGCAAAGCCAGATAATATGGGTAATATTGAAATTATTGATAGTAAAAAACCGCGCAATTTCGATGATATGAATAATGAAATCTAAATTAATACTAATTTATACATAACATAACATAATTTATGAATTATCGTAAACGGTCTAAGCTAAACAATTTAAAATAATCAACACATTTTTTAAAAAGAAAAGAAGAAAAAGTGTAAAATAGTCAAAAAAAATAGCGTTGATGTATCTTTCCACAATTAAGTAAATTTCCGTTTTGTTTTTTAAAACAATTTATATAACCAATTAAATTTAAAAAAAAAATATGGAAATACACAATAATGATAAAATAATAATTCACGTGTAAAATAATATAAACTAGGACACATCATAAAACTCAGCGAATTAAAATGCCGATTATGAGAATATACACACATTATATTGAGGAATTGTAATTAAAGAATCAAAAGAATAATGATAATAATAATCATAATAATACCATAATAGGTAAAATGAAATTGTGAATTTAAATTATTCTCGAGAAAATGTGCACAAATCTAGGTTGGTTGCTGTTGTTTTTGTTGTGTTCAACAAGAATTACAAAATTTTCCTCATCATAATAATAATAAAAATAATAACAACAACAACGCTGCACAACATACATAATACATAAAGAACGAAGAAAATACATAAAAGGTGTAGAAATTCAAACACACAAAAAAAATGCTTAGCCATAAAAATTCTAAAGTTTAACAAATGCCACGTTCTTGGAATAATTTTTATATAAACATTCAAACTCACTTTTTGTCTGATATCGATTGTGCTATAAATATTATTATTTTATTCTTCTCCTTTCCATTATTTCTTTTAAAATATTTTCCGGTTATAAATATATGATTCACCGATTCATATTAAATACCTCTTGAATGAATTGAAGTACATTCATAATATCATGGGCTGTATTTCACAGAATAAAAGTGATATAGAGATAACGATTTTCAAAGACGAACAGCAGTTGTGGTGTGCGATAAAGAAATGAGATTCATTCGCTAAGTGTTCATGTATATACCTATACATCTATCTTTCTTTTTGAAATTACAGAACGATAAATGAGCTTCAGTTAAAATTTCATGAAAATGAATAATCTACCCTTACCATAACTGCCTTCCATACCCAGCAAAAATATTCGATATGTTATCGTTATTTGAAAAATTTGCTGTGAAAATGATTCCTTTTCTCGAAGCTCAAGCACGCTATGCTGAATACCAAAAAAACTGCTTCAAAGTAATTTGTTTGGTTCAAAGTATATTATAGCAAAGAAAGGAAGAAAATAACACACACACAGCTCAAAAGTCCCTCTTGAGAGTGGAGCGAATTATAAAAAATTTCCAAGTACACTTCAAAAATTGCTTTTTTTTTTGTTCGCTTGCCATCCCCACATGAGAATCAAATTATATGTTATTTTAATAATATGCGAATTTTTTGGTCTGACGACATCCAAAATGATGTAATTTCTCATCTCATCTTATTCCTTGTCTTGTTATCAGTGTGAAAGAAGTATGAAAATTAAAAATTATAAAATATGGACTTTATATTCGGTTCTTTACTATAAAGACTCACCAGGGGAGCAGCTAGGGTTTTTTTTATCGACCACCCTCTCCTACTACGCTCCTTACTTTCATGATACAAGCAAAAAGGGAACTGCAAACGGAGACGAAAATTAAATGACTAAATGAATGCTAATTGTATAAATATGCACAAAAGAAGACACTCGAAATGAGTGCTCAGGCGATAACAAGAACGACGAAAAATAATAAAACTGCTTGGCTAGCATCGAGAGTGACAATATTTTTTTTTGTCTTCTATGCTTTTTGTCATTGAACTTTTCACTTGATAGGGCATCATCATCAACTTCGAAAAAAATAAAAAAATAATTAATGGTGAAATAAAAAGTCGAGCAGCTACAGAGATTGAAATGTGATCGAATAAATAAATAAAATATATTTAATTAATTCTACTTATAAGTGCGAAACATTCCATTTTAATCAGTTTTTCTCTTTTTTTTGGTTCAATTACATTGGCCTGTGTACATAAATTGTATATATTCATATAATTTTCTTGTTACTGTAAAGTAATAACAATGTTTACTTATTAGTTCCACGCGAAATATATTATAAGTATTATAATTACTATCTCTACACGTATTCATTGTCGTCAACGACTTCTTTTCACTCGGAGAGGTTGTTCGTATGTTTTGAAAAGCTAAGGAAGGAAGTGATCCAGGTTGGATTCAAAAAATATTTTTTCAAAAATAAAACCGACTCGAATGGCACCAGAAAATATCCTTTCTTCAGAGAATTTAATTTTTTGAGGAATAAAAGTTTGGTTACGAAACATCCGAATGACCCTCTGAGTGTGAATATAACGAATATTTCTGACAAATAATTCATTATATTTATGTACTTTTCTATATCATTTAATGCTCGTGATGAAATATAAAGGAATGATATTTATAAGATTAAAAGACGATAAACACGACGGGGCCGAAAAAAAAGCGGAGCTCAATTAAAAGCAATTAAATATACGTTTTTTTCTCAGAGCACTCTTTGTTCTTTTTTCTGGTCGGCACTTCCCGTCCCTTACTATGCCTTGCCTTTTTTTCCTTTTATTTTATTATTTAATTTTTTGTTTCGGGGTAGAAAAATCTACTTTTCGTGATGTGTGAGTAAAATGTTATACTCGAAAAATAACAAGTTGAAGAAAGCAATGAAATATGAGGCCGGGCAGTAAAAGGTTTTCATTTGATGTATTAAATACTAGCGAAATTACACATAGGGACATGAAAATGTCAGACAGGGAACGCATTCATTCATTATAATTAATTTTATTTCCATTGCGTTATACATTTCTTCTCATTCTCGTCGGTGCTTCATATTCCTCCTCTAATTCCTCTATTCTCAATGGACATCAATAATATCTTTCCTGACATTCTCCATATAATTCATTACATCACTTCTTTCTCATTCTCTTGTCGTCATTATTATTGTTTCTGCCTTCTGCCTTCTTTCAATCTTTCCTTTCAATGTCGAAAGATCATCACAGGCAGTCAACATTTTTATATATATATATATATATATATATATATATATATATATTTTATGAATGAAATTGAGTTCTTTTTTTCTGACCGAGCCATCAACGAACCGCGCGTCAATCTATATAGTATTATCGACACAGCATGAAATAGAATCAAATATTTTGAAATATAACATTAATGTGCGATATACATGAGGAAGATGCTGTTTTTCGCGCAATCAATGGAGGGGTGAATGAATAGAAGAATGAGATTGAATTTTTATACAGATTTATACATCAACAGTATTCAGCCTCGTGTAGTTCTTTCACTTCAAGCATGTACACAGCATAACATAAGAAAGGAGAGAGAAAAATGTTCCCATTGTCATACAAAAAAGGGATCCTTATCAGCCATCAAAACTGAAGGAGACGAAAATGTATTATATAAAGTATAAGCAACCATAAGAATGTCAATGGATAAATTTACATAAGGCATTCTTAGTGCACTTTAATATCGACAGCATTACTCGATTAAGCTTCACTTCGACTGACCGCCTTCCTTTCTAGTTCTGACACTTTGAATTTATTAGCATAAATTTTAAGCTTGAGACAGTAAAAATGCTCTTTAACCTCCCCAAAATCTAAGATGTCGATCAAACTCAGCTTTCCGTTTCATTTTGCATTTTCGATACTTCAAAATTTATTGTTTTTTATTTATTGCATATATACAGCTCTCGCTCTCTCACTTCTTTTTCCATCACCTCTTCAGTGACATTTTCTTTTCATTTCCTTTTTTTATTTTCATTCTTTTACGTATTCCATACGTAATGCTTTTATGTGAATATTTTGAGCATTTCAAGTGTCATGACGCCGTCTCAAACTACAGAAAAAGGAGAGAAAACAACTCCCTTGTAAACCATGTGTAGAAGATTTTTTTTCATTGCTTTTGATATTATTTACACATCATGGAAAATTGGAAAATGCATTGAGGATAAGAAATTTTCACTTGGCTTTCCGAGTGAATGAGTGAAGGAAGAGAGGAAGGAACATTTTAACAGATTGTTTTATTCTTATCACAATCAGAAAAGAAAACCCCACATAATGGTAGTGCAGTGAGAAAGAGAGGAAAAAAAATATAGAGATGAGGGATGGAGTAGTTAAAGATCAAGACGACTAGAGGCAGAATATAAAAGAAGGGAGAATTTTTTCCGTTCCAAACTTCTAACTGTTAGTGAAAGGGGGTGCAAAATAAATAAATAAATGTATATATACAAATATAAATACCTAGAACACAAACGAAGACAAGAAAAGTGGAAAGAAGGAACGAGAGAAGGCCAGAGTTGATGCATGAGTAGGAACTTGGTTAAAATTACAAGGGCTACTTAATAATCTTCTCTTGTGCACATGTGATAACATCACAAGAATTTCTGAAGTTCTTACCTAGAAATGTAGAACATGCCCTTGAACTAGCTTCTAGGGCTTACCCTGGAACAAATAATTGAAATTGACGAACTTCTCTTTGGGATGTAAACAAAATTTGATTGTAACAAGGCTAAGGTATCACAGTTAGACAGCAATAATTGTAGACTTGCTACAATCACCCGTTCCTAGCCAACAACATGAACAACCCTGCAGAAAACTCACACAATAAGTTTGTGAGAAAATAAAACTTGAGATGGATAATGATATGGAAAAAATGAATGATTAGTTAAGATTAAAACGTAATAATGAAAATAATAGAAATAATCACAAGGGAATATTGTCGGCACTCGACACAGGCATATAACGTTCTATTGCCCTGTAGGTAGTCATGAATATAAAAGAAAAATTATTTAAATACTACTTATTTCGCAATAATGACTTGTTATTTTATATACCACACAGTGAAGCACCACATTATCGCTATTTTATAGCTTTCTCATTTTGATAAACAGATTTCTATAGATAGCATAATGATTCTATTGGAAGTTTGCTCATCACGAAAAGGTGATACCAAAAGCAATTTAAGGAATTCAAAGTATTTCAATTTA